ATCTGAACGCTAACCTGGCAATCGTCAATACGATGCCGTTCGTGAATAGTCTAAACAATTACTTGAACAAAAACTTCACCGGTTAGTTTTTACTCTATTACACTTTTTCATTTAAATTTTTGTTTAAATTAATTTGACAGGAAAATGTACAGGTAGTGTGTATGGCTTTTGGACAGCTGGTCGCAGAAAAGACAAAACTAAAACCTTCTACTGGAACACGGCCAAACCTTCGATATATGCTTTTAACACCTGCGACTGCGGAAAGGTAGCTAACATACTGAACTGGGCTTCCGGCCAACCGGATGATTACATGAGCAATGAAGATTGCGTGCATATGTACTCAGTGGATGGCAAATTGATTGCTAACGATTTTCCGTGCAGCAACAAAGTTTGCGCTCTTTGCCAAGCAGAGGAAATTTAAAATTAAATTTTAATTGATCGAAAATGAACTTTTAGCTTAAATCTTTTCGATTTGTTAAAGAAAACGCATTAAAAAATTTTATCAATTTAAAGTTTAATATAAAATAATTCAAATCTTTTGTCTCAAGAAATATTCCCTCTTGACATAATTTATCGGATGCATATAAGGCAAGTGCAGGAAAATTTCGAAAATATAGAAAATGTAAAATTTAACACATCTATCCATCTATAGAAATGTCAAATTCTTACTATTCTAATTAATTATCTATTTAAGTGGTTCTAGCTCAGGGCGTTAAAAAGTTGAATTGTGAATAAACAGCTCTTTTTCACGGACCGATCTGAAGTCGGGCAGTCGTTGATGCTGTTGCTGTGGATGTTGTTGTTGTTGTTTCACTAAGTATCCATTAAAGGATAGAGTTTAGAGTCAGGAAAACCATAGTAGAGCAAGTTACAATAATCATTCCCATCAGTCAATAAGATTTTGAAGCGTCGTTCCCGCGACAACAGTGCCCTCAATAAATTTAACAAACAGATGGGTCTTGAGATCCGCTGTAAACTTCATAAATCATAAATGATAGAGAAGTAATTAGAGATTGAAATAAAAAGTTTCAGAGAAAAGGGTCAAAACAAGCAAACGCAGATTTGACATAAAAGTATTTAACAGGATTTAAAAAGAAGTGGGAGCAAGAAAAACATCGTAAACCGGCACGTTTAGGTTCAATTAATATATCTGATAAGTACTTAGGAGATAATTTAAATTGAAACTTATACATTAATGTGCAAATTATAAAAATTATTCTATTTTTTATAGGTAGCTAGGGCAAGAGAACAAGATATGGAGGGAGATATATAAAAAAAGAAAGAGGTACGAATTACTAGATGAGCATCAGAGTTAACAGCTTCACTTAAAACATAGAGTGTAGAATCAGGAAGGTCATAGTAGAGCGAGTTACAGTAATCAATCCTTAATAAAACTAAAAAGGTAACAAAAAGGAAAAGAGTAGGATCACTAAAGAAGGGCAAGCAAGGGTTTTTTGTTTTACGTAGATGAAAGTAATGACCTTCAGCAACACTGCAAAACTGAAAAGAAAGAGACAAGCTAAAATCTAAAATAAAACTGGACTAAAAATTAATTAAAGATCAGACT